ATAAAGGAATCCCCAATCCCAGTTTATTTAAATCCGTTGCGAAGCAACATATTGTTTTCGTTTCAGAGTTAAAACGTAAAAGGACATTTCTCAAATCAAACGTTTTTAGTTTAGATTTGACAAAGATTAAGTAACTCTTCCATGGATTTTCTCATTGATACCAGAGTCAACATTTTAGAAAAGGTGTCCTGTTAGCATTGAGACTATGTCCACCAGATGCGACTTTACGGTGCATCATGACAATAAGATACTTGCTGTGTTTCTTTGCCGTTCAATAGACCTGCCGCTTTATATGGAGGCGTTATTTCAGTAAAATCTGTCTAAGCTGGAATCGAGAGGAACACGACAAATTTCCGGTTTAGGGAGGTTTCCGTTTTATGCAAGGAGATCCATTTTATGGCACTTGTGATATTGTCATTTCTGCCTAGAAGCGTAAATCACGTTATTTCATCATAATTATAAAGATCCGTAACTCATTTATGAAAGAAATCGCCAATAAATGAAGATTAAACACACTTCATTGAGAGCTTCTGAGTAGAACAATATACACCTTTACTGGCGTATTCGGACTACTTGCAGACGCTTTCAACGCACAATGCGTCACATCCCAGTACTATGACTTTCTGATACACTCGCATGTCCTTGAGCAATGCGTATCTGGTCGAGGGGTTATGATTTCCAACGCGGGGCAAGGAGCGCGTGAATAGAAGCCCTGCCCGTACACCTTCCCACGCCCAGAGAGTCGGGAGGGAATTCCCGTACGACCTACGCCTTAAGAGACAAGCGATCCCAAGGTGGAATTCTATACGCTGACAGCTCAAGCCCCTCTCCTTCAATGTCCCGTTGCCACGACTAAATCGCGTGTCACAGAGATAGCGACTTTAAAATAAGCTTGCTAATCCTTTCATTACGAATCTCTTGTGTCTCTCTACCAATTGCATTAAATTCATAGGAATTCCGTTTTATAAAGATTTTCCCCTTTGCAGAACATGAAGAACCGTTCCGTTTCCGCGTTGGAGTCCGTTTTATGCTGTGAAAAATGCCATTTAACTTCACGGGTCGGAGAAATGTTTCGGTTAAGGCAGGTTTCCGGCTTGTATAGGTTCCGGTTTAGACAGATATTACTGTATAATAGTAATACAATTACATTTTTCGAGATATTGAGCTCAAAGGTTTAATTATTAAAAATAATCGGGGATGAAGTTACACAAAAAATTGTGTGTTTTTCTTTTATAAGATACTAGCGTACCCGTGCGAGAACTCTTGCATGTTAATCAACACCCTTTCCATTAAGAAGAAAATGTAAAAATGTTAAAAATGTATAAATATAACTTAGTACTTGCCCAATATCACACAAAATAAAAACAGTGCAATTGATGATGGAAACATTTTCAATAAAATTTTATTGAGAATTATAGTGGTTTGTTTTTCCAACAATTCTCACTTCCTTAAAAACGTTTTACTTTCTATGACCGTTAGCTTTTCACTTTCCTTGATAGTCAAAACAAATATTAGAAAAGGTTTTACTCTTCAGAAAGACAAGTAAAGTTTTCTGTGCGAAAATACAGGGCAAGTACAACCCTACTCTACAATACTATTTAACTTTCTAGGATTTGTGATGAAAAATAGAGGGGGGTTAGAGAGACAGGGCGCCAGCTTGCAGGGGTGCGAAAATTGAAAATATGTGTACTAAAAAATATTGGATTATTTTCGGCATTATATACCTCAAGAAAACCAATCTAATTCCCAACCAAAAAATAATAAAACTAATATTTTACCTTTGAGTAATAACTACCATTAGAAACAATTCACTATGCTTAGACTTCACTTGGAATGTTGCTCAAACGATGTTTACTTACTGAATATCTTGGCGATCTTACACCTTAAATTTAATATCAAACACAATATGAGTTTACAGCTTGGCATTGATGTCCAGACTTCCAGATACCCCCAACACTTAAATCATGCGTCTGGATTGTGATCGTTGGCAGTTGTCGAATGTCATTCTTTCTATAATTTTAAATTTGGTTGCTTTTTTAAAATGAATTTACGCAGTATTGTAGGCAAGGGCTTTTTTATTTTTGTTGTTCATTTATTTGAAACAATTTTACTTTAGTTACTTTAAAAAGTTTGTGTTGTGCAATAGCACAAGTTTTACCCTACTACCTCTCCGTATCCGCGCGAGAACTCTCACATGTTACACCCCACGCTTTTCCCTATTCTATTTCCATTTTAAGAGGGAAAGTGGTTAAAGAAACGTATTTATTTGTTTGTAAAGGTAACCTCCATTGTACTAACATAATATCAAATAAAAAACAACGCAATTGACGTGGAATTGAAATTTTCACTAAAGATTTATTCAGTATTAAGAGATTTTTAGAACAATTCAAATCAATTCCTTAAAAAATATTTGAAGAAATTATTCAATATTCTTTGACAGCTTTTCGCTAGTCACAAAAACATTGAAAAAGCTCTTCACTCTTGAGAAAGCTAGGTGACTGAACAAGCTGACTTGAAAGTTTCACCGAATCACTGCTGATAACGAAAATACTGGTGTAGGTAAAACACAAACCAAACCTAACAAGACGTCTTCACTGTACACCTACATCCCTTCACAATTACATAAGCAGCACTTGTAGACCTCGACAAAACGTTAAATGGCTGTTTTCACTACACGCATACTCGTAAGAAACAATCTTCATCGGTATCAAGCAACTATTAATAGTATGTCTAGTTGTTGGTGCGAGAGAGAATCTTGAATTAAATAACTTTGCAAATAAACCTCGCCAGTGTCTGAAAATCACAGTGTACACAGAAAGCATAAGATAGAGGAATCTAAGCCTTCTAAGCGTGACGTCACCAAGATGGCCTCCATCACCAAGCGTTGAAATCTAGGCAGCATTAGTAAGTGCCGAACCAGGACAAATTTCATAGAATGTTCACGAATATCCTCATCCTATAGATTGCGGTGCGAGTAACATTCCTTTGAGGTGCGAGAAAACAGAAACGAAGAATTTCTTTTCACGGAAAATGAACTAAATAATTGGAGGGCCTGTTGCGTTGCCCGGATAAGGTGGCCGTGGGTGCAGTACGTCTCCGAGAAAAGCATGGCGGAGTCGATCGCTGCGTCTGGGCTGCGGCGGTCAGCGTTATGTCTTTAAAGCATATCGAGAAAACGATACTTTTTATATGAGAAATCAGGATACGTCAAGTGACCCGGAGGTGCAACAGATAAATGCGTGTTTGCCGACGTCGTGTGGTTTTCAAATCGATTTCAAAAATATGTACTACGACAAATTGAAAGAAAAAATTTCGAAATAACTCCTGACCTCTATTTTTTGAAACAATTACACTACATAAGTTTCAGAACGCCATGGATAGAAATCGTACTCAAGATCGCAAAATAATTGAAAAATTTACGTGGTTAGTTCACAATGCTGACAAAACGTCTAAACGGAGCAAAGAGGACTCTGAACCAAAGAAAGAACGCGAGAGAACTCAAACAACCAAAGAAAGTTTAAAGCGTCCGACGACACTGATCCTGCATTGTCATTTCGAGATTTTCAGTCACTTTTACTTTCTAGCCACCGCTTACACAGTAGAAAGAAAGTTATGTGATGCTGCGCGAAAAAACGGCGAATTTTCGGTAAAAAAAAAAAAAAACTCATATAACAGGGCTCTGGTAACAAAATAGTGAAATCCAGTTGCTAAATTTGGAAGGAAAAAAATCTCTAATGCGTGTAAGTAGAATTCATCTTTTGTAGGTCTTCGGTACAGAGAAATCGATTAGACAGCAAAACGTCTGTCAACAACGCTAGCGGCTAAATCGTTCAGCCGATTTGCTTCAAAATTGATATTCCCCTATCGGTCTGGCTGATGTTGCAGCCCCTTGGATTTGAAACAGACTTCTTTAATACTCGGGAGTACTTTACAAGAAGCGCCTGGGACATTACGAAAATGTTAAAAAAATCGCTCCATTGTTTTTTATTTCATTTTGTTGCTGGATAGCGCAAAGTTGTAAGTGTAAGATGGTGGAGGTCTCATTAGTTCAAAATCCTAATTTTTCGAAAAATTTACAAAATCTCAAATTCTTTCGGAGTCTTCTCACAATTACAATTATAGAGATTTTTTCCCTTAATGAAATCTGTTCATTTAAGATAGGTTTTGAAATAAGGTCATGTACAATTTTTCGACATTTTGAGCCTCTTTTGCATGAAACAGGCAACTTTAAAATTTGTTTAAATAATTTTTCTCAAAAACGGCTTCATCGTTTTTGGTTAAATTTTTTTGTTGGATAGTCTGAAAGAGTTAAGAAAAGTGTGGATTTCATGTTGGTTGAAAACCCTGATTTTTCGAAAGTGAAAAAATTGGAAAGTTTATAGGCGTCTACAACTATGAAAATAAGAATTTTTTAAAATTAAGTGTGTTAAAAATCATATCTAAAAATAATGTCATGTTCAATTTTTCAAAAGCGAGTTTTTTTTTGCAAAATTTTGTGTCAAACATAAGCAATTTTTATTTTCTTTAAACCATCTTTTCTTAAAAACGGCACAAAATTTTTTGATAACTTTGGACCTTAGATAACGTAAAGGACTCAAGAGAACGATGCAGGTCTCATGTTTGTTGAAAGGCCAAATTTTTCGAAAATTAAAAAAATTTAGGCATCTCCCTACAACTACAATTGTGAAGATACAATTTTTTTCTTAATGAAATATGTTCATCAAAAACAGATCTTTAAATAAGGTAATGTTGAATCATGTAATTTGGCAACAAACGTAGTCGCCAGCTCCGAATTTACTGTGCTCTGAGAACATAAGTTGAGAAGTTTTTGGAAGCTATTTCCTATTCTTATAAAAGATAGACTGAACTTAGAACTAAAGAATTAATTCTTTACTTCAAGAACTTTCAATCCCTGATTATGGTAAGTTTCATTTCAGAAACTTAAAAATGACTACTGTTCATGGCACTCAAAATGAACACAGGTATCCACCACACCAATATATTTTCATTTAGTTTTGAATAATAAATCTATTCCTAGACACTAATTTTCACATCAAAAGTTCTAAGATTTCAAATGAGTTTTACAAAAAATTATGACAGATGGGTTAATTCGGAGAGAAATTGTGGTATAAATATTACATAACATTACTAAAACTGAGAAAGTATGTGCTGTTTTAGCACCACTATTTTTCTGTGGCAATGATGATTGGCCTTCCAAGCCTTGGCACACTTCCATTCTGGTTCTTCGAAGTTTGGAGTCGGCCACCCAGTTTCTCACTGTCCATTAAATGGAGAACTATCAGCAAGTGTCTTGTGAATGTCCTCCACAATTTCCTCCCACAACAATCCTTTCAAAAGAAGATATTCAATGATAGCACGGTTCTTCCTTCTCTCAATAACTGCCATTTTACTTACAAAAGTTAAACAATCACATGCAATGCACATTAGAAGTGAAACTAACAAAGTTGTGTTCCTGAAATTTAACTTGCAAATCCACAAACGATCCCTATAAAAGCTGCAATAACGTTGGTTGTATCAGACATTGCAGTAACTATCTAGGGCTAGTTTTTTCGACTGCCCTTTTGTGTTATTAAATATTCTCAATTACACCGTCCTCTGCAGAGTGATATTTGTGTCCATAAAAAAAAAAACCAACAACAAGAACAGCAGAAGGGAAATGAAAAAGAAAAGAAATATAAGCAAAGCCTTAGATCTACTTTACTGTCGTATCTGTAAAAATTCTTACTTTTATTTCAATAAAAATAATAGCATTTCTAACAACAACTGCTGACACAAAAGTTGTAAATTATTCACCCAGAACAAAATTTTCTCAAAAACATACATTTAATATTTTCATGGACACAAAGCATGCTCATGTTTAGACTATACGTATCTTTTTTTAATATATAGCCCTTGTCTTTCCTAATTGGATCCCCAAGCACAATTTAATTACGAAACCTTCTAGATATTTATTTTCCTGCATTGCAGTACATACAATATGATCAGTCTTTTAACTCCAATTATTTAAAAACGAAACATTAATGTAGTTTTGAAAATAATACTTATACTTTTAATGCAATGAAATTTACAGCTAATCTGATAGAATGCTTAGAGGAGGAATATTCCTCAGTCTCAATTATTGAAGTGTAACATTTTTTTTTTCCATTTTTTCATTTCTTTATTTGACTGTCGTAAGTTGCCTTTAAATTGTCTCAATGTGGTCCCATGCTATTTTCGACAGTCACTATTGTGACAGGTTGCATGTTACAAGGCAATCCCATAATGTATTTATGTGCAACAATGAAAAACACTGCATTGTAAATGCAAGTTTTTAGAAAATAAAAATTATCAAAATTAAAAATTGATGACAAAAGAATTAGTTGACCAACAGAAAAATTTACTGAAACGATAGTAGCCTTTCTGAGATGAGGGCCCACAAAAAAGCGAAACAAAATTTGCTAAGGAATGATGTACATATGATGCGATAGAATAAGAGGATAAATGCTGAAAAAGGTGTGTTTTGTTTGGGAGATGGTGGTAGATTGAAGACAGCAGAGCAGAAGAAACTTTGTCAGAAACCAGTGTAAGAGAGAGTCCAGTCACAAAGGGATGCATGCAAATGTTGCAACTTTCGGCTGTTAAGGCAGTTAAAATTGTAGGAAAAGGGAATGAGACAATAGTCAAATATTTGAAATCTACAATTTACCGATTTTGGACAGAGATTTATGTATGAAACTGTTTGTTGCCAGACACTGCAAGAAGAAAGGCAAGTTGACACATAACTTGCATTAAAAATTCGACAAAAAGGCAAGTAAACTATTATGAGAAGATCATATACTCTAAGTAACTTTCTAATAAGGAATGAAATGAGACCAAAGAATACAATGTTAATATATTGATATATATGACACAGGTGTTTTTGTCATCATATCATAATTCATGTTGCTACATTACCTTACACCTGTATTTGGTAAAAAAGAAAGAAGAGAAAAAAAAGAAAAAGAAAAGAGGATCAAAAATTGCTTCAGAAACCCATCAGCCCCTACAGGAGGGATCATATCTGATGAAAAATAAAAATTTTGCTAACCCAGATTTAAACTGGCCCTAAGAATGAAATGTAATATTTATATTGGAATGGCTTGCTTAGACTTGGATCAAAATATAAGATTATTTTTTTATTTTGAAATGTAAATGAATGTTAGATTTTACACCATAACTGATATTATTATAAAGTCTGTGCAAAAAGTATGGCATGAAGAAACCAACGAAGAAGCTGGGCATCAAAGAAGTCTACTAGCACAAATGAAAATCATCTCTAAAGAAACTTTTGAACTTTGCAGTGAAGTAGATGGAAACCTTGAGAACATATTTCATTAGCGAGAACTTTAAACGCCCACTCTTGAAAGTTGAAATTAAATATGGACAATCAAACAGAACAACTTGGAATTTGTCAAATTCAATGAATCCCTAAATATCAACTATTAATAGATTTTCAAAGAGAATTAGAAAAATTGAAGAATTTTGATCTATTAAATATGCCTTAAAAATGTGAAACACTATACAAAAGAGTGCAGTAATTAAACAAAAAGTACAAACGTTCCAAGTCTATTTTAATCACAGTGTACAGTTAGTGAAAGAAGAGAAGAAACAAAAGGCTCTTCAGAATGATCTCTTTATTGTTGATAAAAACTTGATAATTTGTTTGATGCATGAAATAGGACATGCACGGGACCATATTCAAACAATTTGCTTCCTTTACATTTTTTCTAAATGACTAAAATTGTATGCTACTGGTCTTGTATTGCTTATATTTTGACATTATGTGATGTCAATGTTTTTCAGCACTGCATCCAGAGCACAAAATCACTGAAAATAAAAGCGAAGTAGCACATAAATGCACATATGAAATTCCTACTGATGCCTATAGTACAATGAGAAACTGCACTTTCATCAACTGTACTACAATTATTTTGAAAATAATTAATTTGAACTGTATAAAGAATACAAGAAACTAAATATCATTAATTTTCATAAACCGTGATGTACATGATTAATTAACCCACCACAACTTAAATAATCAAAAGAAAATACGCCTAAACATGACCCCCGCTGAAGAATTAAAACTTAAGTCAAAACTGGAATCTATCTATTGATCTGTACATCACAATCATTTCCTAAAGTCCATTACAGGAAACTCTTCCAGAAACATCAAATTGAAGTTTCATTCCTGTACTGCAATTAATGTTTGTATATCAACAGTTGAAACCCACTAGCTTCAAACCATGCTTTTCGATGTACTTCTGACGAGCGTTCTCTATGAGCCGAGCCTTTCGCTCGTTAAAGGAGAGCATCCTCTCTTGAGCTGAGCGAGGAAATGAAGGAGCAGAGGTATCCAGAAAGGATGTCCCCTGCAAACAAATTTCATTAAATATAAAAGTTAAAAAGGAATAGCACATAAAACTTCATCAAAATGCATAATATGTAGAACATTCTACAAAACAACTTGTACAAAAAAACAAGTTCACCTTTGCTGCTGTTACACACTTTTCTAAACCTTTTATTTTAATTTATAGTCTTTATAGTGTATTCATAATTTGACGTTAAAAGTGAGATTACAAAAACAAACACTTTGACCAAGATAATATGAACATTTCTTCAACTGTATAAAAATTACATTAGAAAAAAGTTTAGCAATTGTATACAGTAGTTTAACATTTGATATCGCAGGGAATACCAAAGTATTGCACAGGTCATAATTGAGGAAGTGTAATTAAGAATTGTTATATTTCCTCGACTTACTTTGAAACTATATTTATTACGGAGAGCAAAAATAATTGATACTCTGAAGATGTTAGTTGAGAGAACAAAATCTGCGATTGCTAATTTCATGAAAAGTGAATCTTCAAATGAAATACCCAACACAGATTCCAAATCTTGTTACATAGTGTTGATGTTGCTAATAACTACAGTAACTGTATTATTCAGTTCATTCCAATTGTGAAAAAGGAAAAATTCTTTAGTTACGCTTGATGCACTTTTTTTTGATGACAAGGTAGTTGTATTTGCATACAACTAATTTAATGAATATCAAAAAATGAGCAACTACACATGTGGCTAGAAATGCACTTTTGTTATAGTAGTAATAAACGTACCCTCACGTACAAAAACTTCAAAAACCTACATTACTCTATAAAAGTATAGAATTAAATGCAGGGAGAGCTCTAAACACTTCTTAATGCAATCAAAGGTGGCTGAATTAGTGGCAAATCTAACATACTTAAAATGCTTCCTTAATACACTTGCTAGTTAAACTCTTTTTGATAAGGAAAAACATACTGGTAACCAAGATGACCAAATTGCTATTCTGAAGCATATACCCCAAAATCATTAGCTACGTTATTGTTCTCTGCATTTAGGTAAAATTTGTATTAAAAGCTCGCAAACCCATTACATTGACCTAGGTGTGTCAAATGTACATAATGAAATCTTGGAAGTTGGAGTATTTTTTCCTAGCCAAATCAAATATTAACGTGTTTTAATGCTAAGGCTCAAAGAAACCAAAATCAATAAATTCCCTGATATTTGAAGCTCAAAATAATACTTCATTAGGATTAATTGGTAATAGTGAAAAGGACGATTCAAGCAAGTTTCTGCAAGATGTGTAGGGCTCATGGAATTTCAGCTTCAATTGTAACTATTCATAATAATCATAATAATTATAATAACAATAATAGTAATAATAATAATAATAATAATAAAAATAATAATAATAATAATGACAACAACTCTGAATACATTTTGGCCAACATACCTGTGTGCTAGTCGTGGGGGCAACAAAAGAAACTGAATTTTCATCTGTTGTTTGTGTACCAAGTACATGAACTGCCTCATGTTGAGGCTCTGGCAAAGGTGTGAAAGAAATATGTCCTTCTAATATATTTGTAATTGTTACATCAATGCTTCTCGTTCTGCCTATAAGAGAGGTACATTGAAAATATAATTGAAAATTTTTATACTCTCTCCAAATTCTATATTTCCCTTATTCACATACTCACTTAAATCTCTCACTACAACATCATAGGGCACATGTGGAAGAACATCTCGAACTTGGCGAGCCATTCGCTGCAATTCTGAGTTACTGGAATACGATGGAACTGGTCTGTTAAGCTCCAAAATGTATCTTTTTTCATATTCAGCCTTGCAGATAAAAACAACAATAATTAGAACACTGAATAAAACATAATAACTATTACTCCCTGGTCATGGTTTGACTAAATGGCCAGAAGGTTTATAACACAAGTGAGAATCAGAAGGTTAATCAGTAAATATTTTGTAGTACAACTGTTCTGCCATAGTTCAACTTAACAAAATTGTTCAAAGATGAGGTTCTTGCTGTTGTAGAAGATTTTTCCAAATTGGGACTTTTCATGGCTTGGTATCATTTTGAGTTAATAAAATGCACCCATTTAACGCATCGAACAAATATAGTAAAATAATATTTTTGTTGATTAATTTTATCATACCAAATATGAAATATTTTGTATTCATTCTTTTTATTTACATACTAAATATTAAACCTTAATGTAAATACTTTTAACATTAGGTGAGATATGCTACAAATCCAACAAAATTACAAACATTTGAGGTAAACCTGTATTTGTGGCCATGAGTTAAAGCTAAAAATTAATATGTCAAGAAAATATTTTTAATAATAGTGCTGTAGTGATCTCAGACAAGACAATTGTGGGTTTGAGTCCCTTCTTGGGCATGGGTGCATTTGTATGTGTGTGCCATCCTTTCACCCCTCACTATTATCATTTCACTTCCATAACCCCAGGGCTAACAAACCCAGGGAATAAGAAAAGGACCCAATTAAATGCTGGTCCTCGAATAAAGTTACATGTACCTGCATGTAATGATAATGTTACTTAGCTCTGGTAAATGCAGAGTACAAGCATGCGTGGTCCAAGTCTGTCTATTGGCAAGCAAAAATACAATCAATTTGAAGAAACTGCTTAAAAAAAAAAAAAAATTTCCTTTCATTTTATTTTATATTTTTATTTTTAAAAACCCTATTGGAGGACCTGAACGAATGCCAGGAATCTGCAGCACCTTACTGCACCCTAGGATGTCATGTCAACATCGTTGTACTTTCAGCTGGTTCATAGGTAACTAAACATTAGAGTTTACTTATTTCTACTGCTTCTATAATCCTCTTGATAATTATCAACTTATATAAACATTAATGTTTCAAATAAAATACTTAATACTTAAGGATTAAAATATAGAAATCAAAACAATACTGTTTATACAGTAAAACCAGTTTAAAGCCGACAGCTGCCTTCGCTGGAAAACAATCCTAGAAAGGTTTGTTTTCCTATGCAAAGAACACTGGATAAACTGGAAACCAGCCTAACACAGAATCAGAAAATAATTTTTGGTACAATGATATTAAAATTGTGGATAAGATAGAAAAAAAATGTATCATTTAAAAATTAAAAATTGACAGGTAAGTGTGTGTTTATAATTTACAAGGGTGGTCCCAGAAGTACCCGACTCTACTACGAAAAAACAAAAATTTTGGGAAAAAAAAATGTTTATTTTTGAACATAATCTCCTTTGAGCTCCATACACTTTTCCCAGCGATGTCCAATAAGTTCGATACCCTTTTTATAATAAGAACTGTCTTGCTCCTCAAAATAGTCATTAACTACCGACATCACTTCTTCATTGTTGGAAAATCTTTGACCACTGAACCATTGGTTCAAGTTTGGGAACAGAAAATAATCAGAGGGGGCTAAATCTGGGGAATAGGGTGCATGAGGTAGCAATTCAAGTTTTAATTCATTAATTTTGGCCATTGCAATAACGGATTTGTGAGCTGGTGCATTGTCCTGACGAAACAACACTTTCTTCTTAGCCAAGTATGGCCGTTTTTGCTTGATTTCTTTGCACAAATGTTGCAATAAGTTCGCATAATACTCGCCGTTGATAGTTTTTCCTTTTTCAAGATAGTCAATAAAAATTATCCCCCTGCGCATGCCAAAAAACCGACGCCAAGACCTTGACTGCAGATGGAATGGTCTTCGCCTTCTTTGGTGTGTGTTCTCCCTTTTCAGTCCATTGTTTTGATTGTTGTTTTCTCTCTGGGGTGAAGTGGTGGACCCATGTTTCATCCATGGTTATGAAACGGAGTAAAAATTCTGCTTTGTTACGGTGAAACTTCGCTAAACACTCAATTGAAACATCTTCACGACACTGTTTTTGCTCGAGGGGGAGCAAATGCGGCACCCATCTTGCACACAGCTTTCTCATGTCTAAATTTTCAGATATTATGCGATGTACCGCACTTTTCGAAATGCCTACTATGTCTACTAGCTCGCGCACTTTCAGTCGACGATCATCGAGTTCACCCTATACCTCTTTGTGGATTTTCTTTCCCCTTTCTGGAGTTGTCTCCTCATTTGGTTGACAACTGCGATGCTCGTCTTGGCAGCTCGTACGGCCTCGTTTAAACTCTGCTACCCAATACTTTACTGTAGTAAATGAAGGCGCAGACTCACCAAGAGTAGAATCTAGTTCAGTTTTTATACTGGTTGGGCTGAGGCCTTTCAAATTAAAGTATTGGATCACATAACGATGACCAATTTTCTCCATTTTTACAAATTCACTCACAACGTTCACTATTGATTGTTGCCAAACAAATACTAAACAACATAGCATCTTCAAACTCGAAACATATGCTTCATAGATTGTCTACTTTCTAATACAGTGATATTTTTCGAAACACTACCCGGATCTCTAGCTCAGGCCGGGTACTTCTGGGACCACCTCCGTATGTAATTAGTATGTTTATAAAATAAATTATCTAAACAATCAGACAAAAAGTTCTTAGGTATACTGATGAAATATTTTCGCTGTACAGCTAGTTATCAATCCTGTCAAGTCAACTTCACTACATCAACTACAATTTCACATAATGCAAAACATATTGCATTTCCTTGAAAATGGAAATCAATGTGAAGTAAAAACATAAGGCTTCTATAGCTGGAGTTAATATCTACTTGGCTGGCTGTCTGGTGGAGGCCCCATCCTAGGCGCAGATGCCAACATTTTGTCTGTCACGCTCCGACCTTCTTCAGGCCATTTCGTCCTGAGGAAGGTCACAACATGACAGTCGAAACATTGGCATGAGAGCCCAGAATGCAACATCTCCCAGACAGCCAGTACACAATGTGTAGTGATACATAAAATGGTAAGAACTGCACAACACAGGAAATTTCACAATAACATGCAGAAGTTATGGGTAGTGGAACAAGCAAGAATATGGTTCAGTTCCAAGACAAACTATCTTCTTGATGACAAAATGACTTCCTTGAGTGTTGTAGGTAAAATGTGAAATAAAAATTAGAGATTTGTACATTATAAAAGTTCTTAAACCTAATGAGCCACATCCACAAGTGATAAAGATTTATATATTATTGTGATTCTTGAGATAAAAACTAAAATTATATTACAAATTGAAATGACCTCTGGGCCTTCTAGAGTTGATGAGGAAAGAGGTATCAGGAAGTGTGGCTCCAAATGTGCAGGGGCAAAGACAAAGTGTTTGGAAAATACATATTAAGAACAGCTGGTTCGGGATAGTACATTGGTTTCCAAAACCTGAGTGTACAGATTCACACCTTGCTTAAGTATGGTATATTTTAAAAGGGTGTAAAATCTTTGTTAAGTCATGTCATATTCTTCTACAAAGTACAATAAAACCCCGCTAATCTGAAATTTCAGATAATCTGAACAAAATTTGAGATAATCTTCACAAAAAACATCCGATTTGTATTAATTTAATTCATGAATGAAATAATGAACACAGTGTAAGCATCCCAATTCTGAATACTGTACATTGAATACCCATTAACAGAAGCAACAGAAACTATTCTTCAACAATGAAGTAATTACTATTGTACACGATCGGTAATGTACGTACTGTTCTCTGTTATTCACAACATTACCACTTCCTCATGTCGTTACATTACCTTGACATTTTCTTACATTGCACACTACGATGCATTGTGTTTGGAAATTGCAGAGCTAGATTTATACAATTTTAGGTCCCAGAACACACCCCAAATTAATGATTAACTTAACAGAAATAGTTAACATTTTCCCCCGAGTTACTGGAACACCAATCCATCACATTCTGCCAAAAATCAAGTGCTGGGTAACCCTATAGATGTATTTGTATATGTATGGTACATTTTTTTTATACGTAATTGTCACCTTCTGTCACCTTGTTGGATGCAATTACACTCGGAGAATATATTCCGCAGCCATAAAGAAATAATTTCCATGATACGAAGTAATAATGCAGGAGTAACAATGGGACATATTTTCCGATAACCAAACATTTCTGAATCTGATCAGTCCACACTCCCAATTAAGTTCAGGATTTTGGGGTTCTACTGTAAATGAACTTTGGCAAGGGTTTGACAATCTTAAATCTTCCCATTCTTCCTATCCTAACAGATTCCACCCCAATTAAGTCAAGAAACAAGGTCAATAATGAAGAGAGATGATGGATGTCATTGTGTTATCCTCTGCCAGCGAATGTAAGAAGATAATGCTGGAGCTAGTTTGTGCCAGTTAAGAGATTCCCAGAAATCCATATCAACAATGGGCTAATGGATACTTATCTACAAGCATAAACTTTATAATCAAAATATTGAGACCACAGAGTAGGTACATTAATTAAAGAGAAAATTAAACTAAATAATATAAATACTTCTCTTCAACTCCTCAATTACGTCTTCATCTAAAATAAATAAGATGTAATGCAACATAATTTGATTCAGCCTTATGCATTAGTATCCTGCCTCCCTTCTGATATTGTGGGAACCGATGAACATTTGTGATGTGCAAAAGACATTACAATTCATTGGCAAATAGAAATCTGAAAGATAGACTCAGAAATATGTTGCTCCCTAGTGTCAAGAGCTCTATGAAGAACGTTTCGCAGTCTAAGAGATCACAATTACATACGTGATCAACAAATAAGAGTTAAATACATTAAACATGAAATAAACAATGTGTTCAACAAAAAAAGGAGCAAGACTACACCTTATCTCCACTTGTATATTTTGTAGCAACCACTCCCAATGCATCAGCCATCATCTGTTGAACTCTAACTGAAAACTGCAAGTCAGTTTCCTCTTCTTCTTGCTCAGCCACTGGAAGATATCTAGAATGACAACAAAAAAAATTACTAGTGAACAAACACTTGGTTATTTTTAGTAATGTGGGAAATAACATACACACCTGACTGTAAAAACAGTACTTGGAGAGAACAAAAACCAAAATATATCAGCCCAAAAACTTGAAACAAGTGCAGTAGGAGCTACCTGGGTCACATAAGGCCGCCAAACTTTCAAGAGAACAGGTTGAACTGATCTTCTAATGCGAAATGGCCACACTGCAAATCTGTTTTTAAATGTAAGATAAATGTCTGTAAGGTACAGAATTATGAAAATATACTCACAACAAAACACATTTGACACCACTTACTTCAATAACCCAGTTTTCCCACTGGTTGTTGAGCCTTCTGGTAACACCAAAACTGGGGTGGAATACTGTTCTAAATGATGATTAATTTTTGTCACAACAGCATCAACACCTTGAGAAAGATTGAAATCTTTTACACCAATGACACGGAATATGGGAGCAGGCTGTCCCCAAGTACATGGCTGAAAAATTAAATCAAGAGCACTCTTCAAAAGTCCCAACATTATGTCACACTGTCTACTGACTGGTAAAATATACCTACAGTAACACAACTGGATAAGACATGTACAGCAAGATGATCACAAGGAGATACATGATTGGATACAATTACTCGAGCATTCTCATTTCTCTGAGACACATTTTCTTCTTTAACAACTATGCCCAATACAACGCACATGGACCGAAGAACAAACCTACAATCAAAATAAACCAATATATAATACACCTGCAACATAATTGAATTTAATTATAGTTTAACAATTGCGTCTTGTACCTTCTCACACTTGAAAGTTCTGGAAGAACTGCAGCTGCAACTAATGCTTGAAGAGCAATGAATGTTCTTAACACCACTAGAATTAGTCCAATAGGTGCATAAAGCAGTAGAGAAACTGTAGCCCATCCTGAGGGATAACTAAAAGATTTCACTGTTAATGATCTTATCGCGCAAAACTATTATGCACTACAATTCACTTTCACATTTTACTCACCGACTTTCGTAAAAAAGGGTTTTCAATTCTACAGTCGACATAGTTCAAATGCTGTCAAGGGTTCAAAGGAAAGTAACTTATTAATATACTTCAATTCATCACAAATGAAAGTCATGGAATATTTGAATTCGTGTGTGCATGGATGTGATGACGAGTTAGATTTAGGTTATAAAGACACAGAGAGTTCAATTATGCAACAAGTCGATGCACTGATTTCACGATACACAACAAATTTTACATCTGAAGCATATGAAACACGCAGCAACACTTACAAAAAAATTAACCATTTTAACGAAACACCATGTTCAAACTTTAAATCCAACAGATCAACCCTTTGTAGCTGCACTATAGACTGACTGCGTCACAACGTTGGCGTCACAGGGTGACGATCTCCCCGTTCCTTTGACCCTCCCAGGACCCTCCTCCGCCCTGCAGAGGTGTCTGTTCACAGCTGTCCAGAGAGTATATTGTGCAGCTGTCTCTCGGGGAGCAAAACCAAAGAGTATCACTCAGCAAAATTGCGTAAAAATATTCCTCGATTACAGCGCTTTCGCTGTATTTTGCTGAAATAGAACTAACGCAGAAATGGCGCCAATATTGAATCTTAATAAGCAACGTGCTACCGAATGGCATAGACTCCCGTATTCGTTTTCTATTTTCTTAGGTTAATCTACCTATTCGGACTTGCCAGATGCCATCTATCGCCGCCCAACGTACATTTTTAAAAAATATTGTTCATTTTTTAGGTTTCCAAATAAAACAACCGAAATATTACTTTAGGAATGTTAGAAAAGAGTAAAACCTTGTCATAATTTGCAATTTTTATTGAAAAATATGGAGCTGTTTTTAAGAAAAAGATGTTTAAGCGCTACTGTAAGTGCGAAATTTGAATCTCTTTCCACAGAAAATATTAAGTTTTCAAAAGACTAAATATGATGTCATTTTTAACACTTCCAGTCACAAATGCAATAGTGTTTACAACTCGCTGAAAATGTACATATTAATAACGTGAGAGATATTTAATAAAATACATTTGAGTAATTAAAAAACAAAAGAATACAGGAAAATGAACTTTGAGTCTAATTAAACAGTACAATTAGCAGTATCTGCTGGAAAAATTGGAAAAAAAAATTTGGGGCCATTTTTGAGAAAATGAGCGTTTCTGAAAATGCGGAATTTTAAGATCGTTTTCACAGAAAAACTTTTTCGCGTGTTTTCGAGAAACTTAATCTGATATCATTTAAAGCTGATGTTTTCATAATTACAATAATGTGAACAAATCGCCGCTACGGTAAGATTAACGACGGGATGCACAGATTTTAAACATTACATTTTTGTAATTTTTCAAAAAAACAACAAATAAACAAAATAATACGACGTTTCTCATCTTATACGAGGGTTGCCTTATATATTTCAGAATTAGAGAACTAAAACACATTAATCATCGAAAATCACTTTATTATTTTTCAAAATATTCCCCATGAAGATCTATACACTTTTGCACGCGTTTGAACTAATTGTCGAAGCACTTTTGCCACTCTGATTGAGCTATCTCAAGAACATGCATTCTGAATGCAGCAACCGCTTCTTCAGGTGTCAAAAAACGTCGACCTCTCAGTTTGTTTTTTACGTACGGGAATAAAAAGAAGTCATTCGGTGCCAAGTCAGGACTATACGGCGGATGACTCATCAAATCGATGTTTTAGGTGCCCAAAAATGCAGTTGTTTGAGTCGATGTGTGAGAGCTCGCATTGTCGTGGTGAAGAGTGATCCGTCTTCGGCGGTTGATTTTCCTGATTTCTTGGAAGACAGCTGGCAAACAAATCGTTGTGTACCACTCAGAATTGACTGTTCTAGTGGTACGGTTGCGACGTGTCCAGATATTTCGAAACAACAGGCGACCATCTGTTTGGATGTGCTTCGTGCGCGAACAACTTTTGTTGGATTTTGCTCACCTTGAAACACCCATACGGACGACTGCTGTTTACTTTCGGGCTCATACGCGTAAATCCACGATTCATCACCTGTCACGATGTCAGACGTGTTTCGAAGCACCGCGATCGTATTTTTTGAGTATTTCTTTCGACCAATCGACACGAGCCTTTTTTTGAGTGATTGACAAATTGTGTGGGACTCAACGCGAACAAATTTTGTTGACAGTCAAATGTTCAGTCGCTTCTTCAATTTGTAAAAAATCCTACGCATGGTTTAAGTGCTTGTGGTGTTCACACATGGACGGACCGATAGACGTATGGAAAAGAAACAAATCACTTCATCGGTATCAGGAAACTCCAATAATGTATTCCCGTTGAAATCACGAAATTGATTTTCCGCTGAATTACATAACTTTCCCTATACTATGAATCTTACTCCGTACATACGTATCTACACGGGAAAGTAAAAACGATCAGCGTACTAATTAATGTGTAATAAACTCGAAGAAAATATATTTATACAATTAGATTTTTCTTATTTTACTATCAGAATCAGTGAATTATATTCAGAATGAATAAAGGCAACAGGTGGCCCTGTATGTTTACGCTTGTCAGTTGCGATTAACAAACGTTCATGCAATAATTCATGTATCTGTACGGGAAAGTAAACTTTTGACATTGATATTTTAAGTTCAAATTTGAGTGCTTGTGGTGTATTGTGGAAACATTTTTGGCTAAAGTTGACGAGCCGGAGTATATGAAATACAAGGAGTATGCAATCAAATATACATATTTATTTGCACAGGTTCTATTATGTTAGACATTATCATGTTCTCTGTTCATTGTTTTAGAAACAATGACGTAAGCTCAACAGATAAGAGCCTTCATTCGATACGAGGGCCCCCTAATTAAAAACAGCAGACTCTTTCTTTTAATTTAATATTCACTTTTTTCTGTTCCTCATTCATTTTCACTTTCCCGTATACATATGTTTATAAAGAGTAATGTACGTAGTAGAGGGAAACTTATGTAAAGCTGCACGAAAAAACGGAAGATTTTCGGCAGAAAAAAAATTCATTGCCGGGTCCTGCTAATGAAACTAGTGGTGCTACAGAATGACACAGTCTTTTCCGTATTAGTTTTCCATTTCCTTAGGTCTCGGCTAGCTATTCGAACTTGCCTGCTGCTATATATCGCCGCCTAAAGACAATTTTTTTTTAAATATTCTTAATTTTTCGGTTTCCTAATAGTTGAACGGATATATTGTTTTAAGAATATTAAAGAACAGTAAAACCTCGTCCTAAATAGCCATTTTCTTTGAAAAAATTGGAGACGTTTTTAAGAAAATAAGGCCTAAGCGCTACAGTAATTTCGAATTTTGAAGCACTTTTTCATAGTAAATTTTTGAGTTTTCGAAAAACTTCATTTAAGGCCATTTGAAGAACTTAAACTCACAAATACACTGCAGTACATTTTTTTTGCGGCTACCAATTAGAGACTGACTTAAGGAATGTGGATTATTCCACTTCAAATCGCACAAATTTAAGGAAAATTTGATCATGATGTACCAGATTTGCTCACCAGATAAACTTATGTTTCTGTGGAGAGTATAATCAAAAATATTAAACACATTATTTATATTTATCAAACCTTATTTTTGGAGATTATATCAATTTTCAAAATTTTCGAAAAATGCTCGCATTGCTTAAGTTAATAATTTTCAACTGATATTGTAATTGTGTCAGAAATTTAATATTTTGCGGCATTAAAGAACAAAAATATTATATTTTATTTGATTTATGTACTGATTTCATTAATTTAAGAAAATCATTTTTGGCCTTTTTTATGTTATTAATTTCTCCCAAAAATCGACAGTTTAAAAATTAAAAAAAAATACCATTGAAGTCTCTAAAAAGTTTTACATAAGTCTGGTAAGTTAAAAAATGGGACATACGAGGTGATTCAGCGAAATTAAATGCAATTGAAATGTCTATTTGCTGTTTTGCTGCAGTGTCTGTTAGAGCGTCACCCCTCAAGCACGTGCCAATCACTAGAAGACGATTATTATCAATTTACTACTTTCACAGAGCAATAAGCAGAAAGTATCCCGTCATAACTTACTATGTTCTTCGTATATACACAATGACCTTCATAGCTGATTAAATTCAAATTTAAAAGTGTCAAACGGATATAATTTAGTATTAAATGGGCGTAATGTGTATACCAATAAGAGTTTGTGATACAATTAATTAAAATTATATTTCTTTTATTTCACTTTTCTTACAATTAATTGACGTTTTCATAAAGAAATGAAAAGAAGTTATATATTTTTTCTGCGTCTTCTACCATTTTTTAGTATTATATCATTGTTGTCATAGTCTTCTTTCTAAATATTCAGCTTTGCTAAAAATATAAAGGTAATGTTCTTCACATTATCATCAACCCACTTAAGTACATTCCTGCATAAATTATTTGGTTCCTATCAAAATTGAAGGCTAGCTTTTATCGAGAATATTATACTTGCCCTCAGCACTCACATTGCAGACTTCGTTGTGCAAGCATGAATTCGCATTGTTTTGTAATACTAGGCACTGGCCCCATCCAAAAAATGTCTGTTAACACTGTCATAAACTTAATTGAGAAGTGTTATAAGTTCACACTATTAAGGGTGAATTGAATTCATGTCGTGTTTCAGAAAACCAGATTTTAAAAAAATTCTTTGCTTTCTCTGAAGTATAGCACAAAAGGATGCAGAGTACACAAGACATTAATTTACAACAGTCTCTGAATTACATCTTCATGTATGTAAGAATAATTTTTCTTAAAAAAAAACACTTTACACAATGAAAATTCTCAGTGTCAAATTTTTGTCTCACGAGAGCAAAACGATGGGCAAAGACAGCGGAAGACGAACTTGGTCTACTCCTTTATTACTTGTATCAGGTGATGCATTAGGCACGTTTGATCATCATTGTTCCTGCCCAACATATTTGCGGCATTAGCAAGTGTGGTCGATTCTAATTTACTTGAAAAAACTTATCTCGATTCGTCACGAGAAGTTTTGAAAAATAGTTTTTGCAATAATATAACTTTTTGACGACAGTCAATTTTCAACTTCTCAAGGATGCTGGTTGTAACAACCTACACGTACACATCTTCTACAATTATAAATTTTCATATTAAGATAAAATCAAATAGCAATAGGATTGATATTATTGTAAGTCTGTCTGTGGTTTCTAACTTCACATGTTTCGCGGATTCCTTTGTTTACACAACGGACTCAGTATACCAGAGAAAGAAGGCTGCCGTTTCAGGCAGACTCTAGCAGTGTCAGTTGTTTATAAACATAATAGTCGCATTTTTTCAAAAGACTTTCATTCCAGACCGTACATGTGTGTCTGTGATTCATAACATGACATCCCTTACGTTGGTTTTATGTTTGGACGTCACGATGCGTTGTGTCATTGACGCCCCGTAGTTCGAACAGCGAGTCTGGCGGACTACGTGCGCCGGTGAACGAACAAGGTTTTTAAATGTTATTTATGTGTCACACTTTCAAATTTGGCAGATCTGTACAAAATTAGTGTAGAAATA